TGTTAGTTTTTTAAATGATTATTTCTTTGGTAATTAAATGAAAAAGATAGAAAAAATACTTTAAATATTTTTTTTAAAATTGTCTATGATAGTAAGTTCGATTTGTAAGGTATTTCTGTAACTAAAAAGACCTCCTTTTAAAGCGCTCGTTAGTGACAAGTACAAGTCACCTCGATAATATATTTTTTTAAAATGTTTTTTCAGCTCATGTCGTCGCATCTTGTCTGGTTTTCCAATTCAATTTATTTGTTGTCTTTGAGCTGAAGAGCTTTTTAGAGACGCCACTTTTTACCTGGTCGCCTCTTTCGGGCTAGCGACAATTTGTGTTACTGTAAATTTAATGGCCAAGAGAGTTGGAAGATTGGGCTAACAACCACATAGTGTCTGTTGGCAACCGCTCTGCCCCGCCACTTCCCCTTTTTCAGCTCCGGTTTTTGGTTTCACACTGACTTATACATGTATGCAGCCAGCTTAAAACTCAGTTGAGTGCGAGACCAAAGTGCAAGGATATAGTATACATATATGTATGTATGTATGGCTGGATCGGTGAGTGCAACGTTAACTTTGCCCACGACAAAGTGACATATTAGCGTAGTCAACTTTACAAAGCAGACGCACACACAGGTGAAGTTAACACTCGACTGGCTGCCTGCCTCGCAGGCACTTTGGGGTTAATTTTGTTATTTGCCGAAAACTTTGCCTCCACCAAATAGTAGGCATGTGCACGAGTCCTGAAGCAATTTAGTTTACGTAGCTGATGCCAGGAATTTTTCACCAAGACAAAATCAAGAAGCAATTAGAGGTTTCTTATAAACTTTCGGTTCGAATTTAAGCCGATTTTTTAGGGAATACTTTACTGACATTTTAAGTAAGTTTTTGCATAAATTTAAAAATTATTTCTCCATCATATAGAGGGGGGTGGCTTAACGCAACATAATTAAATATAAATTAAAACTAAAATTTAAATGCAATCATATAAATGTCAATGTAATCATTTCGATTTACCAAATCGACCACTGTGGTCTGACATCTGGTTGGTAAATATTATATATGCTTTTAAATATAAAAAAAACTCTTTTCTATCTGGCCAAGCGTGATCCTGTCAGATGCAATTTGCAAATGATGCGCAATTTATTAATTATCTATGAAGCCCTTTTTAATAAACCGAATTACAAACGTGCACAAACGGCAAATTCGATAAAATTCATAAATGTTTTGTTTATTAGTTTATATATGTGGCAGCACAAAAAGTTGTAATTTGCATTGCATGTAGGATTGGTTTTCGGTAAATCCAGTGGTTTGATGAACAAAACATTCAATCAACATAATGAGAATGCGAAAAAAAGAATCATTTATGCATTTAACAGTTCTACCAATTAGCCACTTGATATGAGCCCACAAATAAATGCGGTCGAAACTTTATCACTCACTGTACCCAGTGGCGGGATGTGGCGGCTCAATTAGGGCTTAGGCATTCAATATTTTAATTAGTTCACAAAGTATTTGAAAAACTTGAACAAACAATAATGAAAACAGATAGCCAATCTATTTTTCATATCTAATTATGTCGGCATATTCATTGGAATGATGAGAAAACATTCAAATCGAAATGGCATTTAATTATTTAATTTTAATTCGCATACGTGGTTTCTTGACAAATCACCGGCCAACTCCATTTCATAATCATTGCCGAAACGTTGAGTTGTAAAAAATGCCAGATAAATGAAGTGCCAACCCGCACAAGTTGGTAGTTTTTTACCTTTTTCTGGAAATCAGAAGCTCACGCTCCATATTCTCTTCTTTATGAGGGAAATTTTTGGGTCTGACGGGTAACGCGCCTAATGCGCATTGAATAAAGTACTAAAAAAATAATTTGCAACCTCTGGGGGGGCCATCGCATAAAGAAAGGTGAACGTCCAAAAGGGAAATCAGTGCTGGAGGCGGAGCAGGAGGAGAAGCTCCCCGCCGTCTTGTCGCTGTTCAAAATTTTTATGTTTATTGCGTATACGCACCGTGTTCGAGAGTGCGTGTGGGTGTACGTGTGCGTGTGCTTTTCCCCTTTTTATATACACTTCCGGTTGCCGGTTCTCGGTTACCAGGCCTCGTGTTTAATGTTGTTTTGACGCCGCCATATTAACCGGAGGCGGGAATCCGGCTGGATCCGGTGAAAGGCAGGAAATGTGCGTCGCCAGGTACTTTCTATGTAAATGGATACACGCATTTGTTACCCTTTTCCTATCCCCATCCCTCCGCCAACGCTTGCCGTTTAAACCCTTTTTTGTTTGCCGGTTTCCGTATCCAAAATATTTATGGCCCCCGGGCATATGCTTGGATCCAGCAATTTATTTAACCTTCAAATGTGTTGTTCTTTCCTCATAGAGCACACACTCACACCCACTCTGAGGAATTTTTGTGGCAATAGGTGCCGCCTTATGTTTACCTAAAATTTGCCTAGATTTGTTGGTTATTATAGGCCAACATCTTAGTGGCTGCCAGTGGCATTTCGATTCCGCTTTTGAATGGCGGGTTGTTTGGGGAAAATTTGTAAGCAACTTGGGCTTGGCGAACACATCAATGAGGAATTTCTTTTCCATTTAATTCCGCCTTGAGTTTGCAGAAATATGTATGATTGTGAAAGTTCAGAGTTCACTTTACAGACGGTTTATTTACATGAACCCTCAGCCGCAGCCACGGCAAAAGTATTCTTTATTTTCTTCGTCACTTTTATTTACGATATAAATTGCACAAAATGGTCACGCGACTGACCAAACAATAAAAGCGCCGGCATTAATCTTCTCGGAGCCCTCGTGTTACGGCCAAAATGGGGGCAGAATCGCATGAAAGCCGAAAAATGGTGGAAAGGATGTGGGGTGGGAGAGATGCACCCTTCTTTTTGTTGCCAATTTCCGGATGCAATGCTGCGAATTTCCGTCTGGAAACTTCACAACGATGGCGACGAAATTGCTTAAATGTAAATAAATCAGTGGTAAGAAAATGTTGGTGCGGTCAGGACGCCCATTCGCGTCCTCGTATGTAGTACGCATCCTCGTCCGGCAGATCCTTGTCCGCTGGGTTGTAAGTGTTGGCTTATAAATCAGGCGACTGCAGTGACAGACAACGGACAGCGGACCCAGTGCATCGCTGCATTAATGGCGGCTTAAGTGTCCAGTAAAGTTTCTGTTGCATTTCCGGCTCCTCCGAATGGGGAGAAAGAACTTGCTTAATTGCCGGGAATTTTCGTTTAATTTTCGCCCAACTCAGCCGTTAAGTTTTATTAGCTTCCCCGGCGGGGCATAAATCAAACCAGTTGTAGACCGAAAGTCGTTTGTCATTCCGAACAATCAATTAAAAGCAAATGTCGCATAAATACATGAATTCTTTTGTGACGAAACGATTCATCATCCAGCATCACGGAGCCAAGAACTGAAAAACCAAGCAAATGCAAAACCAAACAAAAACGACTCTTTGTGTGGAAACTTTTAATTTAGGTAATAAAAATCAAAAACTAACAAAAACAACATAAAAAGTGGAGTTTGAAAACCAAATGGCTGATGGATTTGATTGAAAAAAAACGACTCCTATTTCAGGATGTATTTTCAAAAATAGTTCAATGTCCTGGTGCTATCCACCTCTATGGATAAATCGCATTTAAATCGACTTTTAATATTTATTTATGATTTAGAATGCAATTGAATGGCCATTTTGGGGGAACTGCTTTATTAAAAGCCCCTCCTGATTGATGGCCACAGTCTAGCAAGGACTTGATTGGCATTCCTCCAGCTACAGCCTCAAAATGAACATAAACAGGCGTTTAATTTATAATTTATGCGGTTCGTTTTGATTAATTGATTTCAATCGGTTGGGTTAATGGTCGTGACTGCCGCCACGTTGGCCCCTTGTGCGGTTTTGCGGCCTGACATGTGTGGTCCGTACCTATTTAAGATCTCTGAAATCTGAAATCCTTGCGGCTCCTTGGGGGGCGCAGCAGGCAAATATTTGCACTGCTCCTATGGCCAAGGCTTGGATTGCACTGTTTGTGTTTGTGTGTGGTGGGGATAGGGATGCTTATGGCATACTATATCTTGAAATCTAAACAGGTACTCTAGTATGTTGAAAATTTACAAGTCATCGACGGTGTTGGTGCTGCGGTCAAAATTTGCATAATTTGCTTTCCATGTAGGCCTTTCATAACTACGACTCCCGCCCATTTCCTTTACCTTTTGAGTGTGCCAGAGGGGGATACTACCTCGATTTCCGGACTGTTTGCGTTGCTTAAGCGAAAACCGTGTTAAGTGCTTTCGCATACAAAATTTACATGGTCCGACCATTTTTGAACGCTGTATCGGTCCTGTATAGCTGCTTCAGTTAGTTTATGTTGCTGCCGTTTGGTTGCTAGTTGTTACCTTTGTTGATGTTGCTGTTGCTGCTGCTGTTGTGGGGATTGTTGCTGTTGTCACAGTGTTGTACTCAATGCAGGTTGTCAGTTGTTTTTGTGCTGGTCTGCGGTTGTGTCGCTCAGCTTGACTTCCGCTTCCGCCCTGTTTGCTTACGCGGCCTGTCAATATTTACCGTTAGCAAGGCTACAAGGCAGCCTACAAGGGAGCACACAGCCACGCCCTTAGAGCCTTGTCTGTGAAAATCAGGTTTGGTGCTGAATCAGTTAGCCAGGCCAGAATCAAAGAAACAATTGCCCTCTGCTTTCATACATTTTATTAAATTTAATTTATTAACTTTAGCCTAATACTCAGTTAAATATTTTACATGCAGTTGCTTAGCCTTTTAGTTAATTAAGTTAATGCATTCTTTTCTTTCTTACTTCTTACGTCTAAAGAGTTTATTTTCTGGTTTTATTCAGCCAACCTTCCTCTGTTTATCTTTCGTTTATTATTTACGTATAAAATGCAAACTGGAATTTGCTAATTTAAGTCGTTTATTAATCATTTCATTATTTAGTTAACTTACTGTTAGGTTTCTTTAAATTCTTTATGATTTTTTTTTTCGGATTTTCTCATAATTACAATTTGAACTAATCTATGTTTGAGCTTACAGCTAGATGAATTTGATTTAGATGTTTTAAATGCCTTAGTTATGCCCAAGTTACAAGCTAAATGGTAATCAGAATTAGGTTACTCGAACTAAAGTCAACAACAATTATGAATTCGTTTACTTAGCTAAAAGTTTCCATACTTTTCCATCCCCTTTTGGCGCATAAAGCTGTTATTTAAAAATATATTAACAATTCAGTGTTTTCCAATTTAGTTTTATTCGTAATTATAGCTATAAATGTTAATTGTATTCCATAATTTACAAGTGTCCTTACAAGTCCTAATGGAATTACCATGCTCAGCTTCACTGTCTCGTTTCGAACAATTTACATGCACGGTATTTTTTTATTGTTATCTCTTTACAGGATTATCCCCCATCATTTGGAATGCTCGTATTATGTCCTTTTGCTTTATTTTTAAAAAAAATGTCAACTTAGGTGACTTTTACATCTGTTCAGCTCTGCTCCTTTAAAATCAATGTCATCCTGCGCCCTCATCACATACAACTTATAGTCAATTTGTTTACCAATTACTCCCCGATTTATCAGTGGCCTCTGCCACTAGTAGTTCTCTCTTGGTTTTGGTTATGGTTTTGATTTGCATTTCCTGTTTTAGCTCCTGCTTCAGATTAGTTGTTCATCGTGGCCGACAGCTTAGCGTCAGAAGCGTGTCCCTGTGCCCATGTTGCGGTCCTGGGCGATCAGGACATCCTCCCCGTTGAGCTGGTGGTGCAGCTCCTCCGGCACGGTCTTTAGCAGCTGTGGCTTACCCTGAAGACGATTAAAAAAAATACAAAATATTTGTAAGTACGGCACTAAATACGGGACTGCTTTAAAATTAATGAGCCGCACATTATTTGAGGACTGGCATTCCCTGCCAGCCCGGCCACAGGACTCGGGAGCGGCAAAAAACGTTGCGTATGCGTAATATTTGGCATCAGAAGTAAGAAAGTGAGGCAAAAAACCGAAAACACTAAGAAACCAACAAGTCTCCCAGCCATTTGTTGTGTTTTGGCCAACTCCCTTGGGCCAACAGTGTCAGCTTTTGGCCGCCTTTGGGAATCCAGTGGAAAACAAGGACAACAACACAGCGCCAAACAAAGGCAGACCAGCCCAAAGGACACAAACAAACACAATAAAAAAAAAATGGCATCAGAGGCGGAGAAGTGGAATAAAACATTCTGAATTCAGTTGCTATTTCTACTGCCGTTGATGATGATGTTGTTCTCCTGGTTTTTGTCCTTTTATTCCTTCTGGTGTTTCTTCTTCTTATTTGGGTCATAATAATTGCAATCATTAGAGTCAAAAGTTGCCACACCGCAGTGTCCTTTTGGCATGGGATTGTTGTAAAAACGTTACATTTTTTTCCCACTTGTTTTGTGGAACGAATATCAGCAGGGACAATGCATTGGGCCAGGTCCTGGTCCTGCGAACGCACTGCGCGGCGTCGAGAGTATTCGTAATGGCGTATTTATAAGGCAACTGACAGAGACAATGAATGGTTGACCCAACCAGAAAAAGAGACCACTACCAGGACACTATATATGTATATAAATTTTTTGTTTTTTATTATCCTGCGGCTGTGGCTGGTCCTGCATTGCGAGGTCATTTACCGCTTGCAGCTCCCGCTCGTCCTTTGAGTTTTAAAGCTCTGTCTGTCGAGGGATCAGAGGTTATGGATTGCCAGAAAATTGCATTGTCACCAGGATGAGTTCGACTTTGAGCCATCTGTTGATCGATGACGCATCGCCATCCGCGATGGCCTAATCGATTTCGATTCCCTTCCAATGAAAACTGAACAGTTTTGGTTTACTTACGGTCTTCATCGCTTACTCCATTCTTTTTTGGAAATTTAAATATCCGAAAACTCTCTTAATTTAATACATTTAGATACCCTTTCGGTAACTGCAATCACTGAAGCAATATTATCAGGCCAACCGCAAAAACCCATTTTCCGCCCCAGCGGCTGCCATTTATAAGGGAAAAACGAAAACAAAATTGGGCACAAAAGATGCCCACTTCCACCTCCGCCCTAAAGGCGAAAGATAAATGTTTCCTGCTACCGCCACCCCATCCTACCATCATTCCCTTTCACTCGCCCGGCACTGTTGCCAAAAATCCTTGCCTCAAAATCCACTTTGCATATTGATGCTTTCAACGTTTTGGACATTAGGCGATGGAGGCGGCGAGCAAAGGAAGAGAAAGTGGCCTTGACGACCGGGACGCTATCAACAAGGAGCAGCAGCAGTAGCACGGGCTATCCATGCCGCCCAGGAACTGGGGAGTACATCAAACTGACACTTACCACATCGCTGCCATAAAGGCTCATGCCCATGCCGACGATGCTTCCGTTTCCGCCGCCATTGGCCGCTGTCAGCTGCTGCTGTTGCTGATGCTGCGGGGGCAGGGGCATGTTCCCGCTTCCCACTGCCGCTGCCGAAGATGTTGCCACCAGACCCATGCACGTTACCGGCTGCAGGAGGCCATCGCCGGTGGTCACCACGCTGTGGGCAAAGATGGGCGGCGGCGGCGTCGGCGAGAAGGTGGCCAATTGTGATGGATGTGACATGGTGACTCCGGTGATGGTGCTGTTCGTGCCAAACATCGGGCTCGTGGAGTACATGGGCAGTGGATGGTGGGCCAGATCGATCTGTGGCGGTCATAGATGGAGGAGAGTAGGTAATGAAGTTTTAGTCATGTGATGATTTATATGCTGCGGGTTAGTCAAGAGTAGGGACAATGAGGACCGGTGCCAGGTGTCAGATGACACCCTAAACAGTTTCCAACTTAAAACAGTGATCATTGAGGAAAGTAAGTGATAATTATTTTCCCTTTTCTTGGTCTATCCCTTATAGTAGTCTCGGTATATCCCTTACAGTTGGCCTTTTGATTTTCGCTGTGTAATTTCATATTATTGTATATGGCCAAAGGATACTAAAGGCCCTGTTTGTTTACCATATAGTATATGCAAGTGTGGTTGGTCGTGCATATTGCAGGCATCGCAGATCCTGCGGTTTCGCCACTTTCCCCCGCCAGGCGTTGTTCCTGATAGTTAACAACTTGGGCCGCGTTTATTTGGCCAACATGGTTGCCAGGCTAGGGTCTGGTATGCGGTGAGCTACTACAATAATTGGTTCATTGGTGGGCCATGTTTCTGTTCGCCCAGTGGGTGTGGTGTGTGTGAGTGTGTGAGGCATGTTTATATGCTTATTTCCGTAATTAACGTGTGTGTGTGGGTCTGGGGTGTTGTCTTACCGTTCCCTACGAGATTTTAATTACGAGATTAATTTTTAGCGCCATGTAAATTTTAAATGATCGCTTGGCTTGGCTTCCGAAACCAGAATATTCTAGCTATGCGAATTCTAATCAAATTAAGTTCTTGGCAACACACCTCCTGTTCTTCCCAAAACATTTCAAATATTTGAAATAAATTCCACAAACAACCAGAAAACAATGACTGTTGAAGAACAAATTCAAATAATGGGTGAAAAAAAAAGAATTAAATCCAAACCGAAATCGAAAAACTAAAAGCAATGACCAGATTGTATGGAAACTGAGAGCCAACTGCATGTTGTGTAAAACTTTTCGATAAATGACAATAAAGCCGAACAATGTCATTAGGTGAATGGTTGGCCGGACTGTGCCAGGACTGTGCTCATGTTGTGGTCATAATTGTTGTTTTTGCACTGTTTTCCCAATGACCGTGTTCTGTTTGCTCCGATCTGAGCCCTGTTTAAGTGCATTTGCTCCACTTGACCCTACACCCCAAGTCATTTTAATTATCAGGTGAAATCAAAACAAGTTGGCCAAACAATGAACATGAAACGAGTCCTTCAGTCTCCAGACTCCAGTCTCGAGAGAGAATGTTTTTCATAATCGGAACATGCATAACTTGTCTGTCACAAGCAGGAAAGTTTGAAAAAGCATTGTCGAGATGAAAATTTGTTGGCATACACCTCTACTTTCGGATATCTATCACTTGTACGCCTTAGTTGGGGAGATTCTTGAAAAGAAGCCCCTAATTTCTAAAATACATATTTCAAAAGCTCTTGGCCAGAGTATTTCTGCCGGATCTTGAAAACCGATTTGTGCAAACTGAATTTTCAGCATCCTGTTTGTTTGCATCTCCACATGCTCGGACAACAGTGCGTATGTGTAATATTCAGAGCTAGTTGCCGATGAATGTTAAATATTTGTTCAGCGAGCATTCTAGTTCTCTGCATTCCGGCTCTCGATTTTTATGTTACTTTAAAGATTTTATTCATACTTCTTTAATCTATAAATTATAAGTTTCTTTTCTGTGAAATAAATAATTTTATTGAACAACAAATAAATATTAAATGTAAATAACAAAATCATAACAAATGATATTAGTCTAAACCCTGGTGGCATAGCTTGGAATGTACAGACCGGAGACGCCACCCACATTGTCGACCACGGCTCCGGCCACATAGCTGTTGCCGGACGCAGTGGCCGCCTGCAAGTCGGCCAGAATTTCATCGTCCATCATCACATTTACCTGGGAGTAGATGTTCGGTTCGGCCCGCTTCAGTTCCGCCTGTCTGCCCGGCCGGCCCAGGGTCGCACTGCAATATGGGGCCATCCTTTGGACGCCCACCGCGCTGCCCACCAGCGGAGCGGCCAGTTCGCTGTAGCTGAGCTCAGTCTGCAAAAAAGGGAAACATTTTAAGTTTAGTAATAGAAGTATCTTAGATTTTAGAATCTTTATCTTTAGGTATGACTGGCAGTGACACCTTCCGAAGGTACATTTATCCAAAATTCAATAACTAAGCTAATATTATAGCACCTATCCCCAACATATGTGGATATAAAGCTAGCGATTGCCCTGAGCTGGCTTAAATTATATTTACTGCACCTCTTGAGGGGTTCCTGCCAGCTTTATGTCTGCTTCTGCCGTGTTTGTTTAGGCCAGACAACGCCCACAGGCGGCGCCTGTTTGTAATGTGTCTGGTGCCCCGCCCCGTCCTGCCACGCCATTCCCTTAACAACCAAACGCCCTGGCTACCCCCTTCCTATGCCACGCCTTGTGGCAAGGCACACACTTGGCCGTTTATTGCATTTCCAGCTTCCAGCAATCGAAGGGACAAGAACCGGAAGTGGAGCTGCAGGATGCGCGCATCCTTAGCGGTTGCTTCAGCTTTCAGGAGTCTGGAGTCTGAGACTCTCAGAGCCTGGGAGTCTCGGGCCGCGATGGTTTCGCCTGCAACTTATTTTTATTAAATTCGCAAATGGAAAATTTATATTGCTGCAGCTGCTGCTGTTGCTTTTGGTTTTGCTTTTTCTACTGGCCTCCTCCTCCGCCCTTTTTCCCTCCCTTTTCGGGGCGTGGTTGGTTCAGAGAAAATTTCTACTTAAATGATTTTCAAATTATGTTGGTTTCCACTACAACTCCAGCTGATGCCCTTCTATTCCCATCAGAGATATTCTTGTTTTCGTTTCCGTTGCCGTAGCGACCTTCACGAGTTTTTTGTTTTCATGGAATTTTCTTTTTAGTTTGTTGGAAATACTTTTGCCATTATTCAATGATAGCTTTTGATATATATGGGGTGGTTTTTTATACGAATATATATTCTTTAAGGGTCTTAAATACACTTTGAGAGGATCAATCAATATGGGTGTGGCAGTTAGTTGTGAAGAGTTTTTTGTAGGTCGTTAGATGAAACAAAAATAGAGTCAGTAGATAACTTAAGATGATGTGATTTATGGCATTTCCAAGGCTGTCATTCAGATCATAACAACCCTTGACCCTCTTGTAGGATGGAACCCCTTCAAAAATCCAGGATATCCATTTTAGCCCCAAACGAGGTCCATATCTTGGCCAATTTTCATCCGATCCTTGAAAGGAGTACCTTAAACGATTTGTAGTTGGATTCTGCTTCAATCTGCATCAAAACCTCAAAACGAAAATTTCGATTCCGATTTTTCAAATTTTTCTGATGGACCCCCTTCAAAAATCCAGGATATCCATTTTAGCCCCAAACGAGGTCCATATCTTGGCCAATTTTCATCCGATCCCTGAGAGGAGTACCTTAAACGATTTGTAGTTGGATTCTGCTTCAATCTGCATCAAAACCTCAAAACGAAAATTTCGATTCCGATTTTTCAAATTTTTCTGATGGACCCCCTTCAAAAATCCAGGATATCCATTTTAGCCCCAAACGAGGTCCATATCTTGGCCAATTTTCATCCGATCCCTGAGAGGAGTACCTTAAACGATTTGTAGTTGGATTCTGCTTCAATCTGCATCAAAACCTCAAAACGAAAATTTCGATCCCGATTTTTCAAATTTTTCTGATGGACCCCCTTCAAAAATCCAGGATATCCACTTTAGCCCCAAACGAGGTCCATATCTTGGCCAATTTTCATCCGATCCCTGAGAGGAGTACCTTAAACGATTTGTAGTTGGATTCTGCTTCAATCTGCATCAAAACCTCAAAACGAAAATTTCAATTCCGATTTTTCAAATTTTTCTGTTGAACCCACTTCAAAAATCCAGAATACCATTTTAGCCCCAAACGAGGTCCATATCTTGGCCAATTTTCATCCGATCCCTGAGAGGAGTACCTTAAACGATTTGTAGTTGGATTCTGCTTCAATCTGCATCAAAACCTCAAAACGAAAATTTCGATTCCGATTTTTCAAATTTTTCTGATGGAACCCCTTCAAAAATCCAGGATATCCATTTTAGCCCCAAACGAGGTCCATATCTTGGCCAATTTTCATCCGATCCCTGAGAAGAGTACCTTAAACGATTTGTAGTTGGATTCTGCATCAATCTGCATTAAAACCTCAAAACGAAAATTTCGATTCCGATTTTTCAAATTTTTCTGATGGACCCCCTTCAAAAATCCAGGATATCCACTTTAGCCCCAAACGAGGTCCATATCTTGGCCAATTTTCATCCGATCCCTGAGAGGAGTACCTTAAACGATTTGTAGTTGGATTCTGCTTCAATCTGCATCAAAACCTCAAAACGAAAATTTCGATTCCGATTTTTCAAATTTTTCTGATGGACCCCCTTCAAAAATCCAGGATATCCATTTTAGCCCCAAACGAGGTCCATATCTTGGCCAATTTTCATCCGATCCCTGAGAGGAGTACCTTAAACGATTTGTAGTTGGATTCTGCTTCAATCTGCATCAAAACCTCAAAACGAAAATTTCAATTCCGATTTTTCAAATTTTTCTGTTGAACCCACTTCAAAAATCCAGGATATCCATTTTAGCCCCAAACGAGGTCCATATCTTGGCCAATTTTCATCCGATCCCTGAGAGGAGTACCTTAAACGATTTGTAGTTGGATTCTGCTTCAATCTGCATCAAAACCTCAAAACGAAAATTTCAATTCCGATTTTTCAAATTTTTCTGTTGAACCCACTTCAAAAATCCAGAATACCATTTTAGCCCCAAACGAGGTCCATATCTTGGCCAATTTTCATCCGATCCCTGAGAGGAGTACCTTAAACGATTTGTAGTTGGATTCTGCTTCAATCTGCATCAAAACCTCAAAACGAAAATTTCGATTCCGATTTTTCAAATTTTTCTGATGGACCCCCTTCAAAAATCCAGGATATCCATTTTAGCCCCAAACGAGGTCCATATCTTGGCCAATTTTCATCCGATCCCAGAGAGGAGTACCTTAAACGATTTGTAGTTGGATTCTGCATCAATCTGCATTAAAACCTCAAAACGAAAATTTCGATCCCGATTTTTCAAATTTTTCTGATGGACCCTTCAAAAATCCAGGATATCCATTTTAGCCCCAAACGAGGTCCATATATTGGCCAATTTTCATCCGATCCTTGAGAGGAGTACCTTAAAAGATTTGTAGTTGGATTCTGCTTCAATCTGCATTAAAACCTCAAAACGAAAATTTCGATCCCGATTTTTCAAATTTTTCTGATGAAGCCCCTTGTAAAACACCGAATTTTAAAATTTTAAAAGATTTAAATATTTTTTTGCTTAAAATCTAAAGTCATTAATTGTTCCCTGACAGTAATCCTTAAGCCTTAAGGGCTTTCGATTTAGGTGCTACAATTCTTGCTAAGCCAACAAAGTTGTCTGGAAAAACCACTTTACCGAAAATATGCTTGGTTAGTGGTTTTAGGGGATGGCTATCAGCACCTGACCTGGTGGGGATCCTGGTGAGGGGACCGTAAATTAAGACAAGAGAAGACAAGAGTCCTCGGACCGTCCCTTCACCGGCATATTGTAAAAGGTTTAGTGTCGCCCCAATGGACGTGGCAGTGGATTATATGATGGCCATAACTCACCTTCTGTGGCGGCGGCTGCTGTTGTTGCTGTTGATTGGCGTAAGCGCCCATTTTGCTAACGGGAATAAGCGTATTATACTGGATGTAGGGTCCGTGGCCGGGGGGAGGTCCTGTCTTCTTGTCGACGACGGCGTATGTGGGCATCAGGTGATCATAGGTGCCGGACGTAATCACGGCGTTCTGCTCGGCCAAAGCTGCCGTGGCGTAAGTGCGACCATGACCCTTTGTCGTCCACTCATCGTCGACGTCATGACCGTCTAAAAGAGGAGCCGCAGGGAAAGAAAGAAAACACGTTGCGAGTGCATTACGGATTAGGTCAGGGAGCCGGAATAACCGAGGACACCTGTTACTCACCCAACTCACCCAACCCACCTTGTGGTATGATGTCCGGGTTCTTGTCAATGCTGTCCAGGCTGCTCGTCACATGGCACGTCTCCCGGCCGATCCGATGCATATCCTGCACTGATTGCCCGCCATTGTGACCCAGAGTGCCGATGACCAGGCTGCCGTTGTTGTTGCTGGACAGGAGACCCAGGCTGCCATTGCCATTGGCAGTGGCCGTGCCGACGCCCACGCCGCCCACTCCGCCGCCGCCGACGCCTCCGGGGCCGGTGGTGCCGCCGACTCCGCCGCCGCTGCCCGGATGCGAGTAATTATTACGATCGCGTCCCGACGAGCCGCGCACACGCACCACAATCACAATGATGAGGGCCACCAGGAAAATGCTGCCCACGATGCCGGCGAGGATTCCGAGGAATGGCCGGATGTCCTCGATGACGGGGGCATAGGCCAAGGAGAGGTCTGCCGTGAAGAGTGAAGGTGGAAGCGAGATGCAAGAGAGAGTGCGGGGAAGGGAAGAGTGTAAAAATTAGGGGGAGACCGGAAACAGACCAAGATTGTTGGATAACCATGTATCCTGGCATATACATATACACATATGTATGAATGTAGGTGGGTTTTAATGTATGTGTGTGTGTGTTTGAGTGTCCTGTTACCATCCCACCCCCTCTCTATTCCTTCTTCTCACTCTCCTTTATCTATTTGAAAGCCTGCATTGTTTTATGAGCTGCTAACTACGTTCCGTTTGAGGTCCAGTCTTCGTCCTTTAGGTCCTTTATTGTTGCTGTTGTTGTCCCTGCCGCACGTGCCTTGCATACAGTGCCACTTTAATGAGCTGCATGTGTGTGTGTGTGTGTGTGTGTGTTTGCTAATTCGGGTCTCAGTCCTGGTTGGCATGTGAGGAATTTTTAGTGACCCAACAAAACCAAAAACGAACCGAAAAATAAAACCACTTGGCTACAGGATTTATTTGTGCTGCTTTATGCGAATCGAGTGAGTTAAAAATATTAAAGTGTGAAATAATCAGCTACTACTATAATAATAACAAAATAAAAATAATTAAAAACAACTGAAAACCATTAGTTATTAACAAAATGAACACAAAAATTAGTTTCTTAAAAATAATCTACAAAAGGGTGCCAACAAAAAACACAATTACTGAAATAAATTTGCATAAATTATAAGAAAATAACACGGTTATTAGTTACAAGGTAGTGTACAAAAATAGGAACACAAAACTTAGTAGAAAATAATAGAGAAATAGTGTCCACCGCTACCTTCTTGCTGGTCAAGATCCCTGCCCGCGTCGTGGCCAACTATCTTGCCCAAGTTGATGAACTCGTCCTCGTCGCAAACGCAGTCGCTGGCGGTGGTAGACGGTGCTTTTGGCTGCTTGGGATAAGCAGGTCTTAGTCCTTGATAGGACTTAGTAAATGTTATTTTAACTAAAAAAGAGACGCCATGCAAACGAGACAAAGCAAAGAAAGGATAAGAAACGAACAGAAAGTGTAAAGGACGAACTTTAAGCAAATTAAAAGACAAACGAAGCAGCTGTGAATGCAAAACCAACGCCAATTAATTTATAGGCAGGACTCGGGGCCAGGACATGCATGAAATTGCAAATTCTGAGAAGTGAGTGAGAAGGCGCATAAAGAGAGAGTGAGTGGGCAGTCACGCAGCCCGCATTCATTTTTCGGTGAATCCCCATCCCCCCATTCCAATTCTTTTGTGACGAAGCTTACCCGTCTGCTTTTCGGGATCCTTGAGGGTGTAGACCTGCAAAATGGTGGCATTGCTCCGACCCTTGCTATTGTGGGCGATGAGGAAGACATTGTAGCCCATGCCGGGCACCAGACCGCTCACCTCAAAGTACGGTCGCCTGCAATGGGTTCGAATCGATATGTGAATGTCCGAATCAGAAACGGCACAAAAACCGCAAAAAAGAGGCAAGACCAAAGAGCAGGGCAAATGGTGTACGCAGGCTGTGCTCCGTGAGGAGGATGAGCCGGAGCACTTGGATGAGGACACGGATGTGGACATGGACATGGATTCAGTACATTGCCACGCCTCGTTGGGCTTGTTGTAATGCAGAGAAGTCACACAGCGTGTGATTCTGATTGCTCTGTGTGTCCACTTTGCTCTGCTCCGTCGCCGTTGTCACTCCGAATACTCACTTTGATTTGGAAATTTTGGGATAGCGAGTCGTTCCGTTCGCATAAACCTCCATTATAAAGTCCTGCTGCAGTCCGCCGTCGAATCCTTCGATGCATTCGATTTGGAAGCCCGTCGATGTCTGGTTCAGTACCGTGCAATTGAGTAAAGGATCCGGTTCGCCTGTATTTTTTTCGAAAAGGACAACACAGAAATAAAAAGAATGTCAGTGGGATATTTATTATTCCAGCTTAGGGCCAGCTCAGGCAACAAATCGCACAGACTCCAAAGCATTTGTCTGCAACTTTGCATGCAAACATTTCTCCGTTTCTGGCTCTTCGGGGCTCTTTTGGCTCAAAATCAATAAGCCATCTGGCAGCTACAGTTTGGTTAATCCACCCAAGTTGGCACAAGCAAAACGCCAAAGTCCCAAAGTCATCGACAAATCACAGTGCGGCAGGGACTTTGGCGAAGCCCCCGCCAGCAAAACATAAACAAAAACCCCGGAAAACCAAGAGTAGTTAGGCGTGAAAACCGAAATGCTGACGGTCCGGCGAATACCCTGCCGATAAGCATTCTCTTCAGCAGGACTCTGAAAAGTTCGCTGGCCAGGGATATCCTGCATGCCCGGCAGGTTGAATGAAAGCCAAAGCTACTGGCACGCGAGCCATGCCAGCCCAATCCCAGCAAGGACCACACACAGCTTCACTTACTGGACGAAGAATACCCACAAAAACCCCATTCCCAGTTATCCTAGCTATCCCTTCTGCCCCTCAGTCCCCTGTTACTACTCACCTGCTGGGACTATTGTGTATACGCAGGGTTCACTTTGATCGCCAATTTCGTTGGTGGCCCAGCATAACAGCGTTCCGTAGTCCTGGAAATGCAAAGAAACGAATGAGAAGGGGCAGGATGAAAGGATACGGGATACAGGATAGGGGATAGGGGATAAGGGATGTGGAGGGATGACTGAGTGACAATGCATTTCGTTGGCTTAATTTATGCATGCACTGCGGCGATGGCGACGCCATTGGCGACACACCTTTTCAACCTTAATTGAAAATTCAAAACCGCAACTCGTTTGGAAAATTATGTGCTGCCCCTCAAGGGCGGACCTCGGACTGATTTATATGACCTCGAGGAGGCATGTGGGGAGGGTGGGTGTGTAGGGTTTGCAAAAGTGGGGGATGGGGGAGTGAAATGAAACACTTACATTCTCCGTTTGTGGGGTATAGTGGGCAATACTGCGGCCCCGATCCACGGCAACCTGAGAGGAGAGTATGTCAATGGTTTCGCCATGGCTTGCATTAAATTTCCAGACATAGGTGGCCTCCGAGGGATTGGCATCAATTTCACAGGCCACCTTGACTGTTTCCTGCCTGCCGGCACTGTAAGTGGTTCGTTGGCCAGGTCGGCAAACCGGAGCAACTGCAACGAGATGGAGAGTTTCAGGGTTCGCTAGGCAACCATTGAGCAGGCATTTGCATAATTAAAGAAAAACAATGGCTATTGAGATCGATTTCTGTTTAAATGCCAGCAGATCAATTTCATTCGCCTTCAAGTATGTACAAATTATTTAAACATGAACTACCATATTTTACAAAGTTAATAAAAGCTTTTAAGACTAATTAAGTTAAAATCATTCATTCAATTGCCTTTTAAAAAACTGAATTACATCTTTCGGTAACATTGACTTCCGTTCGAAGGCAACAGGATTTGGAAAAAGTCTTGCATTCTCCTTTTAAATATTTAAAGAAAATGCTCTGGCATTGTTGTCTTGTTTGCGGTTGAATTGTTGATACTTAATTGATTTATTTGTCTGATTTACGGGAAAAATTCAATTTGTCTCCGGCAGGATAAGTCACACACAGAGCCAGAGCCAGTCAGAGCAGCCACAGAGTGATAGACCGACAGAGGAGCCCTGATGACTCGTCCTGTGCTGAGTATTGATGTAATTGCATTGTGCAACGTGTTAGTTACAAATTGCAATCGAAAGATCCAATTCATTTTAATTAAGCTGTTATGTAAATTAACACACTGCCTTCTTCCATTCACTGACTTGAATTCTCTTGGCTAGTTCGGCCATGTCCTTTCGACAAATTGTACTCACATCGAATGTCCAGCTGGACGGGATTACTTTCGCCGTCGCCCTCCCGGTTGCTGCCCACACACGTGTAGATGCCGCTCCTGGCCCGGCTGGCATTTTGGAGGACCAGGCTCTGGTTGGAGACGGCAATGCCTTCGGCGGGATTGTTGGACAGGATCTCACCCTGAAAATCGAAAGCGAAAAATGCAGAAAGTGAACGAAAATTGAAAATTCGTGTATGGATAGTATGGCTGTGGCTGTGTGTTTGGCGCAATAATTTATTGAATTGAATTCAATTTACCGATAACTGCTAAATTGAAATAAATTTAATTCTCAAAGCTAATAACACTTTTATGTTGCTTTACGTTGCGTTACGTATACGCCCCGTTGGCTGATTGAAGGCCCAGGACCCGCTGGCTAATGCATAAATTAGACCCGTGCTGCATAAATTGTTAAGTGCTCTCTCCCAGTGCCTGTGCCTGGTAATTTAATAATAAATTCTGTACGTTAACTTATATATGCGTTTGTGTCAGTGTAGAAGGCGTAGAGAATTCCAATTTTTTTTCGGGGCCTTTGGCAATTTTAAAATATGCAGCAATTATGCGCTCCATCTCGGCCGGAGTTTCGCCTTTCGATTACCAGCCAGCGGCTAATGTATGTACAAAATACAATAATAATAATAATAGAAATAATAATTATTATAATATAGCTCTCTGCCGCTACCAAGAAAGGGCCTCGAGTCACGATTATAAATTAGGCAAAGATGGGCAGTTGGGTGTTAAATTTGCTTTCTCGAGCGCCAAATGAAATGCGTGTGAAATCTCATCTGTTTGTCACTTACGTTGTGCCGCCAGCTAACTTGATAGATCCAGGGATTCGACTTGATGTTGCACTCGAAGAAGACATCGATTCCTTCGCGCAGCGTCGAGTTCAGGGAATTGGTGCCGAGTTCAAGGCTCACAACCGGAATATCTGAGTGGAAGAGTGGAGAATAAAGTATTAAAATCCATGTTGGAAAAACAAAAACAGCTAATTAGTTGAAATCGCCGGGCCAGACAAATAATAAAGCCGGGACCGGCTAATAAAATGCCAGAAGCACCGACCAAAGGTGTAATTACTGCGTAAGCCCCACAAATTAGCCAATTTAAGTTGTAGGAATTTTCAAGCCCCTTCGTTCGTTTGCCCGGCTGTTGCTTGTTTGTTTATTATTATATTTTTTTTTTCCTCTCCAACTTCAACTCACTTTCTGTTGGCCAGTCAGGCAATTAGGCTTCAAAATGTTGTTTTTCCGCGGAAAATCGATGGGGGAGGAGAGGTTTCCCTCACTGAGTAACAAGCGGCGACTGAGTAACTGAGCTAAATTTTAACTTGATTAATTCAAAATTGGCCCGCGAATGCGAATCAATTAAGCTTATTAAGCAATCTATCAAATTGGGCAAACAGTCGACCTCCAACCACCCAGCATTTCAGATATTTTCCATCCAATTGCAGGGCGGGGGAACAAAAAAGGAGGAAAAGTTAAAAGGTAAGCAACAAAACCGCACTCCCAAGGCAAACAGGAAGCGGTTCTCTGACAGAAAGGAACTGAGCGGGCCTAGGGTGGTGCAGTACTCTTGGGTGGTGTGGCGGTGTGGAGGTGGTTTTACCATTTAAATTTTGTGCAAACAGGTCGAAAACTGTAAAAGCGTAAAGATGACTTTACAGGCGGCTTGCGGTCCTCGTGGCGGGTTAAAAAGTTTGGCAAGTTTTGTGCAAAAGTTTCACCGGCCGCCGCTGGAAATTAATTTGCCAAAACTTGCCGCAGCTGAGGAGAATCGAAGAAAAATATGGAGATTTTTCCTCAAAAGGGTGTCTTGGGCGGAGAACCACCCAATGCAATGATTTCTTACTGAGTTTTTAAAGCACCGCCTCCACCTCCATCTCAACCACAGCCTACGGCGCCTTTTTACTTTCGTTTTCATTAAAAAACTTTGCGGCAGTCAAATTAAATATTAAGCAGGCTTTTATGATAAAATATAGGCAAACAGAACTCACGATAGATGTCCAACTTCCAGCCGTCCTCCAGCCCGGACTCGGGTATCATGCTCTGCTCGGCGCGGCAGGACAGGAACTTGCCGCGGTCATCGATGGTGGGCGTGAATGTCAGCACCGAGGTGGTCATATTGCCGTCCGGATTGGCCTGGAATAACGAAGTGAAAGGATATCGGGGCTCAGCAAACGAATGCAAACAGTTAATGGCTGAGTAGCTCTGCCACTGGCAAAGACAAAGGAAACGGCTAGGAATGGCAAGGAATGAAGGCAAAGGGTTGGCACGTCCCACGGCCCCGGCAAGGATAGATACGGGGGTTGCTTTTAATTGAGGTCCTGGCTACGTGACTGCCGTTCGAGCAACTTCAATTACCACAAAGCATGTGTACGCTTGAAATTCGGGATGGGAATGGGGATGGGAGTGGGATTCCGAGTAAGGATGGGGGATCTGGAAATTGTACTCTTGGGCAGCCATTAACAAGGATGACAGGCATTTGAAATTTGCATGTTTATAAACATTTGGCGCAGGGTAGCATGCGGGAGTCACTCACAATTAGGTTTACTTCAATTTAAGATTTTGAAATATTATTTCAAGTTGGAAAACTTAAAAATAATAATGTTATCTTAAGACTCTCCCTTAGCTAGCGTGTGCCATTAATTAATTTCTATACAAAGGTTATTTGAGAAGACAAATTGAAAGGAGACTCGTTAGTCGAGATGCTTCCCTCACTCGGCAGGCTTCCACTTACAATCTCATGAGTATTCTTCATGGGGGTGCTGCCCTTCCACCAGGTAATCGTCGGGGCTGGACGTGCTCCGATGACAACGCAGCTGAGCTGATAAGAATTCCCGGCCGAGAGTGGTCGATTCTCTCCCTGCAGCTTCACAATCAGAGGGCGTACTGTACAGGACGAAATGGGTAGCAGAAACGATAGAATTTAATTAGTTAGGCCCGAGATTGCCTGGAAAGGATACCAGGGGGAGGATGAAGGATAAGACTCACAGTTCATGTCGAGGACAACGCTGCTGATAATTGGCGTTGTCAAATTATTGTTCTCCGCCCGGCACGTTAGCTGCATGTGAAGATTCTTGCGCTCCAGCCTTGGCAGTGACAGGACATTGCCCACCCGCCGCTCCGAGAGGGATTGGCCCACGTTGGCGTCCTTGTAGACGGTGTTGCCGTGCAGCCAGGTAACCCTCGGCTGCGGGCGACCTGCAACATGAAAGGCGGATGAGAAGGGTGGTTCGACACAAGCAGCAGAAAGTAAAAGAATTATCCTGTTTTGCGGTAAATGTGGGTGTGAGGTGTGTGTGGTAGGGTGGGTGAGTGTGCAACTGATATGTTTGCCATACGACTTAGACTCGGAGCTGCTCTGGCATTTGGCTCGAAGCATTTTAGCTGGTCTTCTGTTTGTTTATGTGCTCACAAGTGCAAGGAGTGGATGAGTGTCTCAGTATGGGAGTAGATGGTTCTCCGACTGTGTCCTGTGGGATGTGGGCTGTGGGCTGTGGGCTGGTGGCAGTGGGTGTGGGCTACGTGTGTGTACAAGTGCCTTTCGCTGTTTCATTTGTTGTCTTGTTTGGCTTTTAGCAATTTTCAAGTGCTCTCAATGCAATTTGTGTGGGCATTGTGTGCTCTCAGCTTTTCCAGCTACCAGCTCCTCCCAGCTCTCAGCATCGTGTTCGTGCAGTCGACAGCGGGTTGAAAATTAAATAAAATGTGAAAATCTTTCGCCTGCATTTTCACGCTCATCACTTTTAATTGTCAGACACAAGCAGCAGCGTCAACACTTTCCCCATATAAACACACAAGAAAAAAAAGGAAAACACAGGAAAATAAAAAACAATCTCACACACGTGTCAGTGAAAGTGGGTGGTGGCTGGTCTATGGTGGGTGGTGATGGGTGATGGGTGGGTGGTGCTAAAGGGGTCACAACTTACCGCCGATGGCCACGCACGTGATGTTGATGCCGGAGCCCTCGTTGTAGGGCCCCAGCGTGTGATCCTTAATGGTGGCTCCCTTGCTGTCCAATATAATTACAGATTCGGGCGGAACTGAAAAATAGAATTTTTAAATAAGGAAGCTGTCAATGAAGGGCTTCTTAAAGGCCTCACTTTTTGAATCTTTCACGTAAAACGAACTCTTCCCAAAGTTCAATTAATTTCTTTACATTCTAACCAATTTATTTCTTGCCACCCTTGATTGTTTGGGTTACTTAGAGTTTTTTTTTCTTTTTGATTATTTTCGCTTATGTGGGTCGGAAGTTTTGTAACTATTTTCCAGCTGGAACCCGAACCGATTATCATCGCTTTGCTGGAAAATTTGCTTGGTCTGATCAAGTCCTGGGCATTTCCGGTTCCCTAAAAGCGCGGCAACTTGTCCAAACTGTCCACCCCCGAACTGGGGCAACTTTTAATCTAATATCTTCTTTAAAGTTTTATCCTCGGGTTGGTTTTCTTTTTTGCCCCTTTCCCCAGCCAGCCAACCAACGTACAAAGTTCTAAATCTTGCCTTGGTTTTACGCTTCACATGTCACAGACAAACAAACGCACACTCGTACTCGTGTGGCAGCATGTTGAACATGCTCAAGAAGTTTGTAAAACACAGCCACGCCCCTGGCCGCCCTAGTGCGCTTCATCTAACAGGAGCAGAAGCTACTATTTACCAACAATATTCGAGCCGGGCCAACACTGCTGGCCATATATTTCAGCTAAACGCCTTTGGAAAAGCATATAAATTTTAATGGTAAATTGCAAGCTGTGGCCGCCCAGGTAGGGGCACAAATTGCATTTAGCCATTGGAAAAAAAATAGAGTCCCAAAGGTATTGAAATATATTAAAAAATATATATTATCCAATAACCATTTTTCTTCAAAAACAAAGTCTAAGTAACCAATATTTCTAAGCCTTAAATCTTTTCTGTGCAAAAATTCAAACAACTCCGTTGCATTCCTTTGCCCAATTCCAATCTGAAACCCATTTAAATCACAAAGAATTCAATTCCAAGCTAGCACCCTCTGTCCCTGGCTGGTGGACCAGCTTTAACCAGCCAAGTTTAAGCTTCTGGCCAAGTTGGCACTTTAAAATCTGTTTGCCAAGTCGAGAACTGCCTGGAGGGCGAGAGGGCAAGTGAAAAGTAGTAGGGGGAAAAGTTGGCAACCCGACCATATAGTTGGCGTCTTATTCTGTAACTAATGTGTTTGTCCAAGAGCTGAGTGGCGTTGGTTGGCCCGGACCACGGCCACGGCCCGGAGACCGAGGGAGAGAATCTGCTATCAGGACTCGGCCAGGATATGTCGCTGCACAAATTAGCTGCTCAATTATGCTGCTCCGCACAGCGTGAGCAAACAGAGAGGAAGCAGTCCTCGGTGAAAGGAGCAAAAATAAAGGAAAGTACCAAAGACTCTCGCCAATACTTACTTATGACAGTTAAATTCACTTTGGAGTTACGCGTGGGACTCTTCTGGAAGTCGACGCGGCACCGATACTCGCCCGTGTCGTCCTCGGTGGTTGACTTGATGGTCAGAGTGCCGGCACGTCCTTCCACGTGAAAGGATAACCGTTCCCGGTATGTCTCGTCCGACCAGTGGGTGCCCTGAGCGAAATTCGAGTCCCGTGTATCCACACTGCAATGAAGGATAATAGGAGAAGAATGAGAAATGCACTGTAGATTATAATGGTGTATGATATGATATTTCAGAGGGAACTTCCTATTGAAAACCTATAGCACTGAACTTTAAAGCTAAGGACTTGTAGCATCAAAGAACATACTTTAAACTTTAATATAAAAACTTTCTTTCTTTCTTTCTGTGTTTCATTGAAAAGAATTCCTCCGCAGAGCCTGGACGAAAGGAAAACAAAAGTCGCTCATTCTCCATTACTTTCGCATTTCGAAAAGAAAGTTTTTTATTATCGGCAACTGCGTAATTGGGTTCGGCAATGAATTAATAATATACACTCCCCAACCAACCCATAACTGAATGAACATCCACCCGCCGAACCACCCACTCGGTAGTAATTTATTGTTTTCGCTTGAAATTTCCGATTATTGATTATTTCGAGTAAGTATTCGCCATTCGCCGTAATGAGCTCGTTTTGGTGGTCAATCAATGGTCTTAAAGTCTCTATAAACTGGTCCAAGCCACTGCCAACATTTTTGGCGAATCAGGGTATCAGGGTTTAAAAAGTTTCGACTGGAAAGCTGAAAAAAAGTTGAAAAGGCTGTCGGTGGGAGCCTCTCGGCTTGATTTAGGTCAACATTTAGTGGAGTGGCGAAGTTAATTGGGTTTAAAGCTTTCCCCTCGGCATTCTTGGCCCCAAAACACATCCTATACATATATACATACATATTTAATTATGCACATTTTTGGTGTAATATTCTATTTCGGGTTGCCTTAAAGTGGCAGCCCAAAAGCATTTTTAATTGAGATCCAAAGTGTAATCCTCGCCCCGGGGAGCCAAGTTTATAGGTTTCTCTCGCCCCAAACTGATACTGAACTGCAACTTATGAATTAATCATTTATTACTAGGCCCCAGGGCCTTCCAGTTGAGAACTCGATTGGCATTTAAATTGTTGGCTCACTCGAAATATACCGGAATTTGAAACTTCTCTGTTTGTATTTTGATTGGCAAGAATGGAGGTTTCCACATAAATTCTCCTTTCACAGGCATCGATCCTAGCTGCATCTTTGTGTCCTCGTATATCCTTGGCAGGAGCACATCTCGACAGGAGGAGCTGCTAGCCTGTGTTTTATTGCATTTCAATTTTGATTTGCTCACAACATATGGCGCACTCGAAAGGACCCGGAAAGGATAATGAGGTTCTGCAGAGCAGAAAAACCTGTCAGCCGGGCAATAAAAAGTCGATGGATGGCAAAAATTGAACTGGCACTGCTGGGGCGAAAATTAAATTTTTACCACTGGGCGTTGGCCAATCGAGTTGAATGGCGGGGTGGGGGTGACGGGAAAAAACGAAGAAAAAGGATATTGGATGGACAGAAACACTATATATAGTATAGTAGAGTCGTATGTACCAGCAATTCGGTTTCTTTTATGATTAATTTACTCGCTGAGTGGTTTTTAATTACAAACAAGAGTTGAGCTCAGTTCGAGCGTGTCCTTTCGCTTTCAGTTTCGGTTTCGTCCTTTTTGCCGTCAGACCGTTGCTTCTGGCACGGTCGTTATGCAACGCTAATTACTACTTTCGACCGAGTCATTTGCAAGTCCTTGAAGTGCCCGAAGTTCAATTAGTTTTAGCCGCATGTCAATGTTGTTGGCCATCCAGCTATCAAGCCATCCAGCTAGCCAGATAGATACATAGCTAGATGGCTAACTGGCAATCAGCTAATCACCACATGCTTTCGCCCCAAGACCAGCACCAGGACCAGGACCAAGACCGAGACAAGTCAGACAAATCCAATTAAAGTTTCACGCCTTTGATGTAGCCGTGTATCTGCGAGATACAAATATACAGCCACTGCAGCCACTACAACATCATGTTAGACATGAATAATTGAAAAAGTTTTTCCAACCAAAATGTAACCTTGGAGCTTGGTGCTTCGAGCGAACTGGGATTGTCGAAAAACTTTTCCCCATTTTCGGTGGGTGTTCATTTTGTCAGGGGGTCTCTAGCCCCAATCTCCCTCTCTCTCTCAATAGGTTTGTGTGTATAATTTTCTAGTTATGCTAATTTTATGTCTGCAGGCCCTACAGACGGACAACCGAAATGGCAAAAAAAAAAAAACCAGAAACCTTAATTAGCCGCCATTAAATCAGAATGAAAACTCTGCACAAATATGGCAACTGACATGTCCAGGTCAGGCCAGAGCTCCATTTTCCGATTCCTTTCCAATCCAATTTCCCGCCTCATCTGTCGTGCCCCTGTTTGTTTTTGTTTTCTGTTGGTGTTGGCGATGGTGCTGGTGTGGCAGAGTGGCAGGATAGCTGTGTGGCAGAGTGGCGAGCGGGTTGAGTGCGTCAAAAGTTGTCTGCGGTAATCAATTTTGTTTATTTATGGACCCGTGCGTGCCGGCGTGTCTGTCTGAGTGTGTGCGGTTGAAATGTTTGCGGTCAGGTGCGACAGAGGCTGCGGCTTGTGGCTCTGCATTTGACACGAGAGCTTAAAGTGTTTAAAAAGCAGGTCTAATAAAAAAAAATACGAAATATATGCCCCATTTCCAAAGCTACACTCTGATGATTGAAATGCGGTTTTCCAGCCAAAAGATCCAGCTCCCTACTCACCTGTAAATGGGCGTCTTTAGGCCAACTTTGTACCAGATGACCAGTGCCACTCGGTCCTCGTAAATGGGCGGGGTGACGTTGCAGGGCAGGCGACCGACCGTTCCCATAATGGACTCGGACAGCACGGGCGGACCTGTAACGAAAAAAATGTGAATGATTAGGCTGCGACTTTGGCAAATGGACAGTCTGTATCCTAGACCTTCTAAAAATATTTCAGAAATTTGTCAGTGACAAAGTACCCAAGAGATTTATATATTTTTTGTATCTTTAATTTTATCTTTAATAAAAAGAACAGAATAAAATATATTATTAAATATACATGAAGCTTTTAAATAAAAATTTAAATTCTTCAAAGTTCAAAACCCTCTAGAATAGGTCATTCCCTTAAGAAATTCTTTCCTGAATAAAATGTCACACTTTGAAATTGATATTTTTGTGGCATTTTCTCTCCTTTGCTTTAGTTGCCAAGAAATGGTGGAACTTGTGAAGATGAAGCCAGAAAAAAACTGGCTAACAAATGATGTATAATTAGCCGAGGGCATTAGCACTTTGTTATTGGCCCGGACCCATTCCCTGGCCCAAAATACGAAAAAAACCAAAGTTGCGGGGAGCTTACTGCGATCTTCGCTTGGCCCAACTAATAATGCTATAAATAAACGGGAAAAGAGTGCCCCAAAAAGAGGGGGCACGTGGAGCAAGGGCAGAGGCAGAGGCAGGGGCACGGGGAATTGAGATAAAAGTGACGTAATGGGCGCGACGTCTTCATTGCTGTCCTGCGCCTTTTCTTTTTTTTTTTGCCTTAGCCCGCCGCCCTCGCATTTTCCGTGCTCTGTCTCACATTAAAGTGAAATTAGCGAGCAAATCCTTTTTTTATGCTAATTTTGCTCGGCTTTCAGGACGGGGATTGTTCTTCCTCATTTCGCCGGCTTCTTTTATTTTAGCTTCCTTTTTGTTTTGCCAACGTCTTGCAGCGCCATTTTTTGAGTTATGTCCTTTGGCTTGGCTTATTTTCCGAGTCTTTGCTCTTAACAATTTCCCTTTTGGCTCGGGCATTTATTTGTGTTATTTTTGGCCTGCACTTAAGATTCGTTTGCCTTTTCATTATTAGCAGTTGCTTTGTTCGCTCATATTTCGCAGCTTTTGTCTGGAGCGGCGCAGGACACAAGTCGTGCAGGACGTGCCAGGGAGAGAGCGATTACTGTTTGAAGTTGACATCCATCCATCCACTTTCTGGGGCTCAGGCTCATTTCTCTTTTTGTTTCTCTATCTATCTACTTTGGTCTGATTTTAATTTAAATTTTATAAGATTGGCGCTGGCCAGCTCTAATTTTCCAGCTAAAAATGCTGCCAATGCTGCCTTCTTGGCCCAAAAGTTTGTTAGCCCTTTTTCTTGGGCCCTCGTCACTGGATTCCTCAGTTGTTTGTATCTCATTTAAATTCACTTGTTAACTCATTTGCATTTCGTGGGCTCAGCATTTTCGCTTCTCCCCAAAAAACAAAGTTATTACAGTTCTTCTGGGAAACATGTTTGTGCATTTTCCAGCCGGCAGGCCGCAAGAGATGATTTAATTAAGAGCCGAACCCAACTCACTCAAATGCAGAAGCCGTCTGCCCACATTACTCATACGCAGCGTGGGCAGCGCCTGGGTTTCTAATCGACTAAACGGGCGAGTCCATGACGTAGCAGGAGTGGCAGCGATAATGCAATGCATAATTTATAATGATTATAAATGGTTTTTGCAACTCGACTTCTGGTTCTGCATTAAATTCAAAGTCAGCGAGGGGCGCCGCTTAAAATGTGATGTTGTCTAAGCCGGATATCGTGCCGTCAGACCAAGCGAGTTCTCCTTTGTGGCCCGGCTGCCGCCATGTTTCGATTTTTCGCTCATTTCATATGCAAATATGTTCGATTTGCCATTACGTAGGGAGCACACCCACCCACATAAAGAACGAGGCCAACCGCAATAATAACAATGCCAATGATGGTAATGATGATGGCGTCCCTCACACACACGCGTACCCAGCCGCTGCGAGGGCCTCTACCAGAGTTTACATTATCCTTGCGTCGAGTTAAACGAAATGCCAACATTGGCAAAACATTTAATTATAGCAATTAGCTAATTAGAGATTTTCGTTCAGAGCTTTCCACCCTCTCTTGACTTCCATGCCCCACCGTTGAACCACAACAACAAAAATCAATCGTAAAATGCCCCATGGCCATGACTCGTTTTCTATTCTGGAATTTGCAATTTTGGGACCGCGCTTGTCCACTTTGGCTGATTTGTTTTCGGGTACTGGGTACTGGATAGTGGGTACAGAGGGTACTGGCCACTGCACCGGCTTGAATAATGCAAAAATGGTGGAATGAATTGCATACCCGGCGATGCAGGCAAAAGTTTGTTTCACTTTGATTGCGTTTCGTTTAGTCTATGCGATAAAAATGCTATCAGTATTAATAGCCAGGTCTGCAGGTTGTACAGGCCAAACGATTTTAGGTGGCCAAAACAAAACACAGGAGCAGGAACCGGAACAGGAGACGCTGTTTGCTCATTAGTTGGCTCACACGTACAGGGGGGGTGCGAAACGTGTGTGTCTGTTTTTGGTGGCAAATTAATTGCACATAAAATTATAACTCAACGCACTTGAAACACAAGGAGGCAGAAGGTGATGCCCCACCACTGCCACTTGCCACCACCCATTTGATGACATTCCCAGATGCCGGTGTCGGGAAGGAAAGTCATAAAAAGCCAACGAAATGGCTGCCAGTTCAACGTGTATAGACCATTAATTAAAAGCAATGTGTTGATTTCTTATTCCTACTACTACTACAGTTGCCTTCCTGACAATTGCCATTTTGTTTTGACTCCTCGAGAGCCATTTATAGCCAATTATTTTTATTGCCTTCGGGGCCAAACAGGCGTAAGGTGAGTAAATAAATTAGATTTAACATCGATCGGTAAATGTTTTTTTTTCTAGCTCTACTTGAGTTATTTATTGTGTTTGCAGTGCTTTAAAATTCAGCAAATTATCAAATATTTATGAGGCCCAACCGGACTTTAATTATAATTCAATATTTTTCCAATTATTTTTTACATTGCACATGTATTCATAATTTATGGAAGCAAACGCCTCTTCACCTCAAAGCCAAAAAAAAAGGTCTCTTTTTACCGAAGCTAGACAAAAAAAGCTGTTTAACGTGTGGCCATAAATAAAGTAGTTTAATTAATTTTCTCATTAAACGCCATTAAATTCAATTAATTTAATAAGTAGTTTCAAAGTCGTTTGACCGCAACAAAAATGGCAAATAAAAGTTTTTCTCCTCCACATTAAAGAGAGTAAAGCTGACCGGGAAAAAAATCAGAATATTCAAATGCCAAACTAAAGGAATTTCAACTTAAATATGACGGAAGTCAGCTAGCAAAAGAATCTGGCAAAAATTATTATGCAAATTTGCTTTCATATTAGTGGCATTTGCTCCGCACTGCTCCACTTTGGAGCAAGGAAGGATCCGGCAAGGAATAAAAAAATATATACGAATATATGAGAATATATACATACATATATATATGGAATCTGCGAATGGAGACGTGGCAGGGGCCAACTCGGTTGACAACGGCAACATTTGCTGATTTGGCAAAAATATGCACAGAACGTGGCAGCTAAGTGGGGGAGTTCGGAAAACGGAGAAGTTTGGGGAAGCAGCAATGACATTGGCGGAAACTCCTGCCAAGAAATTGGCATCGAAATTTAAATAAAACTCTTGTCAATATTTGAAAACGACCGGAGCAAAACGGAGAGTGCGACTCTCAATATGAGTAACAAAAATGTTGTTTCAAAATAAGTGCAAACATTTGCATAATTTGCTAAAATCATGAGGCTATCAAATAAAATATGCGTGACAACTTTAACCCCGTTTTTATTAGATTCTGTATTTGGTTTAGGTTTAGGTATCTAAGCCATCCAACAGCAACATCCAACAAAATAGATATTCACGCTAATTGTCTTTATTTCCGAGGGGAGTACTTAAAAATTAAATAAAAATCAAATAAAAATTTCAAATACAATTGAATCGGGTAGTCGGTAACAGAGAGTGCTCAAGACAGAGGAGAATTTGGTGTAACAATTAAATTAAATTCCCAGAGGAGGTCCGGCCGGCAACTATTCATGTGTAAATTTGAACAAAAAAGGGGCCGTCGAGGGTGACAATTACGAGTCGGTCAGGTCCTCTTGACTTCTTTTTGCCTGGTCTCTTGGCCGATTTCTTTTGGCCGAGTTGCTTGTTGCCAGTTACTTGTTCCTTGTTCCGTTTTATGGCCATTTGCTTTATGTAATGCCAAGTGTTTGGCCAGCAACGGCTGCGGCATAAAAGTAAAGGGCGACAGAGGCAGCGGCGCACTTTTAATGTGCAATAAACTGTAACGATAATGATTATGCGTTCTAGGTGGAGGTCTTCACTCCACCGGCGAGAAAGAGTCAGCAACAATGGAAATGAAAGAGAGGGCGGATAGGCCTCGACTGTTGCAGCAGTCAATCGTGGGAATAAGTTGACTTTAATGTTCGCCAAAGTGGCAATTATTGAAAGTGCTGCTCCTCCGGCCTGTGTGTCCGAAAACAGGCAATCGTTTTGGGCTCGAGAGTGTCGCTCCACTTGATTTTGCAAAATGAATTTTATATTAAATTTAATTTTTATCTCATTAAAGCAATGGGATTACAGACTATTACAGTTGGAAATATGCCAAGATTTAATTGTGGCTATAACTTTTTAATGTACAAATAAAATGGAGCACAGTTTTCTATGTTACTGGTTCCTTTTTTTGTTTTGTTCTCTAGGCCAGCAACCTGAATGTGCCGACATAAAATACCATTTTATTGGCACATCTTTAACTCAGTAAGTTCATTTTACATCCCATTTATAACTACATATATTACGAACCGAACTCGACCACACACAACAGATTCTCTCCTCTTCTGTATATAAAACCATCAATGGAAAAGGGCCAATCTACATATGCCTTGGCCACATAAAAATGCAGTAAATGGCTCGGTAACAGACTGACTGACTACGGAAAACTTTCACTTCCTGTCCTGCCAAAAGGGGGCCATGTCCTGTCCCTTAAAAGATTCTTAACTGCC